AAAAAAGGAGCAAATCAAAGATCATAAAAGTGTGGGAAAAAATCGAAAAAGAAAATTAGCATATTAAACATTAATATAGGATAATGAAAGACAATGATTGAAAAGGTTAATAATAATAATATTTTTCTTTTCGTAAGAATGAGAACTTTATGTACATAATTATATAATTATAAATTTTTATTTTTTTCAACCACCAATAAATAAATTCTAAATAACATGCTTAATTATTGTTTTTAACAAGTAAGATTTGTTATGCTAAATCGGAACCACCTAAGGTTATGGGCGAAACCTCCTTAGTAATTGCTGAAACCACAGCAAAACTATATTAAATCTTATCAAAAATCCTGTTGAAACCATGCCGAAATGGCGAAACCTCAAAATGCGAAACTCTGCCGAAACTCTAATAAACAATTAGCGGAAACCCCGCTGATTGATTTCTGGATGAGTTTCGGCAAGCAACCTTAAGCAGGTCTATCTCCAAAGTTTTCTCCACTTCTCATTTGACCAATGATGGCTTTCTTTTCACTTTGATGCTTCCCAGTGCTTTTCATTTTCAGATTGTAGTAATTGTTAACAATTTCTTCAATGACTTTTTCTTGGTTATTGGGTATAACCTAAGTACACAACATAATAATGTTATATACTTAGGTTATACACACTTGGTCTAGGTTATGTGATTAGGTTATAACCACTTAGAATTACGATTGGTTTGCATTTGCGTTGTACTTTTTGTAGGTTATGGCATGGGTTGTGCCGTCGAACCAGCCCTTTTGGGTTATGGCTGATTTGAGTTTGATTCGTATTTTTAAGCTCTTGTCTGGATTTTTTATTTTTTTTCCATAAATTTAAACCACTGCGTTGACTTCGATTCCTGCTTTGGGTCCCGATTTGAATTACAATTGGTTAATGAATTCATCGTCATATTTGAGCCCCGCTTTGGACTATGATTGGTTTATGAATTCGTCGTCATTTTTGGGACCATTATAGTGGAGCATTAGTGACGACACGAAAATGTTGACGAAAAAAGTATGCTTTTTAGTGATCATTATTGACGTCCATAACGATGGACTTTTAGTGATGCTGTTGACTTCAATACACAAAGTGCTGAATTGTTATCTCACTTGCTGGCTTATCAAAGCATAATTTCCGATTTGAATTTTTCTACATTTATTGCAAAAGACGACAAAAAAATTCCTTCTATTGATAATGTAAATTGGAACTATGAATACAAGATTGACTTACTTCTATAGATAACACAATTCAATTATTTGGGAAAAAGACATATAACTTCAATCCATTCAGAAAAGGAGGACAATAATCAACTATTGGATTCTCATCAAGAATTTCCTTGCTGATTTGAATACATTTAGATTGAAATTTTTGTCTTTTTGGGTCCGTTCTTTTTACATACTTCCACAATCTTTCTTCATGCTCCAGAAATCTTTCTTGTTTCAAAACCTATCTAAAAAAATTAAAAATAATAAAATAATATCACCAAGTTAGTATCTATTTCTTCATCGACATTATAATTATCATTGTTATTATTGTTAAGTACAGATTTATTTTTTTTCTTTGAATTCGATCCAAGATTTGATTGCCCCTACAACCCTGGCGTCAGATTTTGTCATATGGTTATAATAATTTTCTACTGCTTTGTTCGAGATAACCTTTATTTTTTTCTCCTTTCTAAGATTGCTCACAACTTCAGTAATCATATCAGCCTTGGAGTAATATTTTTCTCGCATAGTCTCGTCGAAAAGCTTCTTGAAATTTTGCACGAGTTGATCTGAAGTTCATCTTGAAGCTGAAATGATACAAAAATATTTGATTTACTATGGGCATCTCACCAAAGACAACAGATATTTATACATTGAAATAATCTTACCTCGAGAACTGCTTGAACTATTATTGCTTGAAAGATTTCTTGGATAATTAGTTGGGGTATTTTCTTCCTGGAATCTTTGTTGGATCTCTTCACTGAACAAAGAAATTTTTTCGGAAAGTTCGTCTATTTTATTAAGAAACTCTTCAATTTTATTATAAAGCTCATCAATTTTTTATCAATTTCTTCAGATATATTATCAATTTTTTTAGAATGTTTTTTTGTTTCTCCTTCAATAAATCAAGATCCATATCAATCCGTTGTTTAAATATGTAGAAAACAAAGCATGCAACGGTAATGAATAGGTATATGAAGAATTTTTTTCCAAATATAAGTGTTACGGTGAGGATCAAGATAGGAATTATTCTCTAATGGCATTTTTGCGAGGGTTTCGAGAAATTCAGTTGACGTCATCTAAAAATGGTATCAATTAGTACGATGGTTTTTTTATAATACGTGGGAACAAGCATCCTACATACCTTTGATTTGATGAATGTAAGAATGATATTTAATATGATTTATTTATTAACGTGTTTTTTAACTAATTTACTATGTTTTATTGATTTATTTATTAATGTGTGTTTTTTTGATTAATTTACGACGTTTAATTGATTTACTACGTTTTATTTATTAACGTGGGTTTGATTAATTTAACAAATTTTTATTGTATTTATTCGAATGTTATAGTTATGAAGTAGAAAAATTATGCGAATTCGAGCTGTTTTTATACGTATTTCAGAATCTCTCTGGAGTTGATTGTCGATCTGCTATGGGTAAATGCCATTAAAGTTATCAAGAATCATTGGTTTTTTTTCAGAATTACATACTAGCCAGGAAAAAGTTTCGATTTTTTTTTTCCTTGGATACTATATTTTAACCTAGACAACCTAGATGAATATAGAATAACAAGTTGAAAACAAAATAGAACACTTTCTCCTATATCAATCTGTCCAGTTTGGCATAATTTTTTATCTGGACGGAATTCCTTCCGTTTTTATATCATTTCATGCTATACTTGGTAGCAAAAAAAAGATAACGTGTTTTAACGAGAGGAGTTAAAGAATACAATCCTATGAACAAATAATTTTTTCTATTTATCTTAGAATAAAGGCGTATCTTAGGTTAAAATTGAATTTATGCTGATGAT